GTTTGAAGTTTGAAGTTTTAACTTTATAGTTTAAAGTTTAAGTTTGAAGTTTAAAGTTTGAAGTAGTCTTGAACCTCGAGTCTTGAGGTGCGCCAATGAATCGAGGTGCGGTATTGATGCGGTGCGCAACTGAATCTTGAGGTGCGGTACTGAGGCAAACTATATTCATTTATAAAGTGTTTTCAATGGCTTTCAGCCCTCACAGCCGAGTGGAAAGTAAAAATTTTGAAAACTCTGAAAATTTTTTTTTCACAAATCGCTATAGGAAAGACATCATCTTAAAGGGCGTTTATTTGGGCGCAATTAGAGCCAGTCCCGCGCTACCAGACCCCAAAAAGGCTTTTGCTACCGACAGAAGTACGCCTTTATTGATTGTGCTGGTAAAAGTGCTATTTTTTTCGTAATGTATGCTTAAAGAGATGAAAAATTGAAAGTAGTCCAAAAAGCAATAATATATATTTACTGTCAAGAAAGTATCTGAATTTTTTTAGCTTGAGTTACAAACTTGCTCTGACTAAATAACTAATTCACATTATGTCGGATATACGACACACCATCTATTTCAACGCATTGCTGATCATCGATATTCTTCCATTGGTCATCATCTGAAAGATGCTCATGGGAACGTTAACTTACTCAATGAGAGGCAATTTCGGGTGCTTAAAAAATGCAGCACGAAATGGGGATTGCCTGGTCAACGAAATGTTGTACATAACAACAATAAGACCTAATTTAAACACCAAGAGCGACTAAGGCTGAGCTCTTTGTTTGATTCTCAATGACTCTTAATTTATTCATTTTCTCGTCTACATATATCTTAGTTTTATTATTCCATTCTCACTTGATAATGTCGTTCTGGAAACGTCGAAACATCGTGTAATCTTTTCCAATATTTTATCGCAGATTTTTATTGTAAATATGTCATAAATATATTTCATAACTTAGCATAATAAGGCCTTCGGCGTTCGGGTTTGTTTTGTTTGTTTTTGTTCTACTGTCGGATTGATATGAACAGTTTACATTAGCAAACACAGAATCGTCAGTGGTTGCACACTGTACGAGTTGAATCTGACAAGCCTTACGTGCACGTGTACTTGGCGAGATACGAAATTAAAAGGGATTTTGGACGAATCACTTCATCGACGTAGAAATTCACAAGAACTTCACTAACTTCAGCTCGGTTAGAACCTTTTCTAGTGTCTGATATTGGCTTACTCAAATAA